TTCAGCTCGCACTAGCTCCATCTGCCACAGATAGCAGTAATAATGCCACATGTGATACATCCATTTAATTTCTCAATTTCCCAGCCGGATCCCTTTGCCACCTTAAAATCTAATTCATTTTACTTGCTTTAACACTATAAAAACTTGACAAGAAATGTATAAAAATGGATCTGCAAAAAAACCAGGTAAGTTCCAGCCAATAAGTACCAGCCTCCAAAACTGGGAGTGATGATTTTGACTCATGTAGAGAAGGATCAATTATCAGGATGTGGAGGGAAAAAGTATTCGTGGTGATATAGAGCAAGAATGTGGAGAAGAACTGGGTTCTGATCTGCACTCCCCACTCTGAGAATGGATTCCCCCTCTCCTGGGCCTCAATTTCCACACCTACACAACAAGGCAGGCAGACTAGATGACTTCTGAAGCTCTGATACATCTTGATCCTTCAGCAAACACGTTCTGACCATTTTCCAAGGGCCAAGCCTTATGCTATGTGCTGGAAGAGGATGCAGTTCCTCCTTCAAGACATTTCTGGAAGGGAAGGCCACGATGCACTCATTGGCCACAGGAACTCAGGAAGGTATAGGGTACCTCCTTTCCCCACTGCACTGGGCAGGAGGACGGTGGTTCTCTGAGAAGCAAGACTCTTACCTCAGTCTTCCTGGGAGCTTGGATACATAGATGGGATGCAGAGGGTCAGATACATACAAAATACAGAACCCACTGCAAACACCATCATGAGCGATTAGCTGCCATAGGACACACCGTGGGCCGCCAGTTTACCTCGGGGTGTTTTTCAGTGATGGGATCCCGATGCTATCTCTGTGTAAGAGTCGACTGTGGACAAGGTACAATTAGCAAGCTAGACGGTTATCTTTGAAATGGGTCTTTGCATTTTCATTCCTGATTCCATTATTTGTTATCATGTCACTGGTGCCAACAGATTAAAGACTGAACATCCTCAGAGTATAAACACATCCCTAAGTCGTAGTGGCTTCATCACAACCTAGGTACGGGGAGGCCTGTTTTAACATACTTCTACTGTTTGGACTTTTGCAATACATGCTTCCAAACAAACTCATAGAACCTCAGGAAGTTAAAGTTGGAAACATCCTAACAAAGGATCTATTCCCTATGTCACAAATAAATTTCAATGCCATTAACTCCACTTGAGTAGCAACCAAATCTGGACTTAGTGGGAAAGAGACTGATGAGCAATGGCTGCCTGGCCAGGGGAGGGGAGCACCATTACGATACACATTTACCTTTCCTCTCCTGAATATAAACCTTCACTTCACAGTTGAAAGATCCAAGGCCCAAAGAGGTTAAACCCCTTTCCCAAGGTCCCACAGGGAGTTTAGGGGCAGGAGAGAGAACTAGAACCCCAGCCTCTGTTCCCAGGCCTTCCTCATCTGGGCTCCTGAGGAGACTACAAACCTAGGATGACAGGGGGAATGCGGAGAGCCAGATTTGCTCAGGTAAACCAACAACCCAGCGCCGGTGGCGTCAGATTTCAGCTGGGCCTGCAGACAGACAAGAGATTAGCAGGATAAAGGGTCCCAGCCCCTCTGTGGAAAATTAAAGAAATCATTCCAAGGCTACAATTCTATGGTACTTAACTTTCTGATGGGTAAGGCTCTGCCACCAGGAAGACTAAAAAAGGGTGGGGTGAGGGGGGATGTATTGGTTTCTGGATGTTCTAAGAATAAAGTTCAGCTCTGACACAATGAGAAAAACTCTTGATACTTGAAAATTAAAGTCACTGGTATTCTATTATCCTACCAATTTCTATGCCACAGTCGCTATTATCCAATGAAGTCATTTCTCACAAGAGATTATGGCTCTGAAATGGGGAGGGACTGCATCACGTTTCCTAACATGGGTTTTGATAGCTAGTCCCCAGGTCTGGAATAGGAAACAAACTGCAGGATTAAATCAAGATATTAAACAGACTGGGGCTAGGAATGAGAGGGATCCCTAAATTAAAATGAAGGTGGCTCTAATTGAATTTAAATTTAAATTTAAATAAATAAATAAATAAAATGAGGATGGCTTCAGGACTGGCTTTTCTTGCTCAGTCTCACAACTGTTGGAGAAGCCAGCTGTCTGACCAGATGAATATTGAAACCCTAAAAGCATTATGTGTCGTTTATAAATCAGCTGCCCTACCCAGCTCCAGAGGTATACCTAGGATGAGCTAGCATGACAGTTCTACAGACTTACTTTCTAGCAGATGATAAATGCTCTTAACTTGAAACTCTATTCTTCAATCCAGTGGAGAAGTTAAGGAGTTAAAGGACTGCTCTAACAGTGGGTATGTTAACCCTGGAACCCACGAGGAATATATTTTGCATTTGGATAAAGTCCTGTCAGACTTCCCTCCAGAGCCTCTGCAGTTATTTCTACCAGAAAGATCAACGAGGTGCCTTGGGATAATTCTCAACAATTACAAGAGTGACAAGCTGAGCTCCAAACTGGTCAGCCCTGTCGAAAGAAGCCCTGTGTGCTCAAGAGGCCAGATTTCCCAGAGAGCAGGCGGACTGACAGGTTCCGTGCACGTTCCAGCACCCTGGGATGAGGAACAGAACACCATGGCTCTGAGAATTCAGCCTCCTCCCTCAAGGCCAGCTGACATTCAGACAAGGGACTGGGGGCCAAGCCCAGTGCTGTGCATCTGCAGGAGAGTGACACAAAAAGTGGCTGTGTGGAAATTTGGCAGAGTATTCCTGAAAGGCAGCAGATGAATGCTGAATCCTACAGCATCTAGCAGAGCTTATCATTGGGGAAACAGCTCCCTTCTGCTACTCCCAGAAAGCAAAGGGAGTTTCTTTAAAGCAAGGATAATCCATCAGTACCCGCCCCCCGTACCCGCCACCACACCCCTTCATGTCTTCCTCCTCCTCCTCATGATATTCCAGAGCAAAAGTAATGAACAAGAACTAGACCTTCCCAAATGAGCCTGTCTGTCCTTTCCAGTTAAGGGCTCTGAGCAGTGCCCAGTTGTTGCTCCCCTCTCTCTTTACCCAAAAGGCTGCCTTACTCCATCAATTCCCTCTTGCACAAGTGAGCAATTTACTTTGAAAGCTCAGGCCAAACTGGCAGTTAACCTTGACCTTCTCTCTACACATCTGGGTCTATAGAAAATGAAAATCAGGACGTCTCCGGCATCCACGGCAAATGAAATACGAGGGCTTTCTTCAGGCAGAGGCAGAATGTCAGGAGCTATTTTAGAACTGGCTACAGCTATTCTAAAGGAGAGTTAGTGCTCAGGTTAGGACACTCCCCACCTTGACATGGGGCTGTGTCCAGTACGGAGCCCCCACAGCTAGGGATGCTACAAGGGTCCCCAGCCCTCAGGAAAGAAAGAAGTGGCCATTGTACTTCTCATTGATTCACTGATGGTATCATAATGCTGGACCTGCACCAATAACCACATTTTACGGATGGAGAAAGGGAGGCTCAGAGAGGGAGATAAGAGGTGATCAAGGATACACACAGCAAGTTAACAGTAGGGCTGAGGACAGAACCCTGGCCTCCTGCCCCTGATGCTGACATAGGGTGAGAACAGAAGAAAGATTTCATGAAGGAAAAACTCATACGGATACAGAATTTAAGGGAAAGAGGTCTAATATGGCTGTCAGGGTTTGAACCAGGGGTTTAGTGAAGGCTTAATTTCCAAACAATAAGATCTACCAAAAAGATCACCAAGGCCCTCCAGAACGGTTTGCAACAATTACCAGTGACAGGCTGTACTCATATTGGGTCATCCCTGTGGCAAGCAGCCCTCCGTGCTCAAGATGCCAGACTGCCCAGGCAGCAGCCTGATACCAGGAAGAGAGAGAAAAACATCAGCCTCAAAAGTCAGCTTCTTCCCTCATACTCCCAACAATCAGTTAAATTTGACCCCAATAGACAAATTATCCACTTCCCATGGGGCCAGGGAAATCCTATAAGAAAACCTGAAATGTCCCACTGTGTGAGACAGTTCAAGCATGTATACACTCACTCGCACCTACTGAGCCAGGAGCTGGGAAAGCAGGAGTGCTCTGACAGAGCTTCTGCTTTCAGTCTATATGTACGTGTGACACAACAGACAGACAGACACACACACACACGTGGGTGAGTTCAGAAGAAGCAGGAACAATTAAGATCCTAGTCTTGGCTGCAAGAAACAATGCACCTAATCAAATTGGACAAGTTCAAAAGGGATCATGGGTACTCTACGAAGGGACAGGGAAGGCACCTGAAGTTCCATCCTCAGGGCACACTGCGCACAAATAGCCTTTGGGAAATTTTGGGGGTCCCTCCACCAGAACTCACACTTCTGGACTCCCAGAAGGTCAAAGGCAGGAGGTCCCTCAAGAACCAGGAGCTTCCTCCCTCCCCAAGGACCTGAAGCTCCGAGGGGAGCATGATTTTTGCATCCTCCAAGGAACCCACAGATCTGGGAAAGAGGAAGGGTGAGGAAGGGGGAGGGTAAGCAAATGGGGAGAGGAGGGACGCCTGGTGTCCCATTAGGCAGATGGGAAAACAGGAAAGGGGCTGACCTGAGTAGGGAACACTGGGATCAGCAGGTGGGGTGAAAGCAGAAAAGACCTGGCCACTAAATAGAAGGACCGCCAGCTCCTGAAGAAGGAGTCACCCTGGGATATAGGAATGCCGACTGGACCCTCCAAAAGCAAGAGATGCTGGGAGGTAAGGGGATACCAGACATGGACAGAAAGGAAGATGGTAACCTAAGGTAACAAACAGATCTTCCAGACTGAGCAACAGGAGTCTGTTTCTAGTTCTGATTCGGCCTCTGGCTGACGTGGGGCCCTGGACAAGTTCCTGTCCTTCTCTGAGCCTCAATGTTCCCAATCCCCAAAATGGGAAGAACCGAAGGGTCTCCGGCTCTGACACTGAGGATGCAGAAACGGAAAGGTGGAGGGAGGAACCGAAGGCTCCAAGTGAATACGGGGAGAGAGTGTTCCCACCCCCACAGCAACTGGGGGACTCACCAGTCCGGCCGCCGGGACCACCGCCGCCCCCGATCCCCCGGGGGTGCCGTCGGGCTGCCGCTCGCGGTACAGCGCCCAGAGCCCCACGTTGGGCAGAAGGACCAGGGCCGCCAGCACCAGCGCCACCGCCTGCAGAAGCCGCTTCTCCTTCCGCCTCATCGGGGCCGGTCAGCCCCGCCGCGCCCCGCCGGCCCCGCCGCGCGGCCCCCGGCTCCGCGCGTCCGCCCGTCCGCCCGGCGGCGGCAGCAGCTCAGCGACGAGAAGCTGCCGCGGCGCCGGCCCCGCTCCAACTCCGCGGCACTTCCGCCGCTCGCCGGCCGGGGAGCCGGCCTCTGCCACCGCGCCGCCGCCACGGGGGAGGCTGCCGTCGCCGCCGCCGCCTTTGAGCCGGCCGAGCCGCGGTGCCCCGCGCCACTCTCCTCCGGCTCGGTGGCCGAACTCTGTGCGCCAGGGGCCCCGGCTTTCTCGCGGCTCTTGCCGGTCAGCTCCGGCGCGGCGGGGGCCCCGGAGCGGAGCGCTTCCCCCTCTCGGGCCGCGATGGTGCGGCCCGCTCCTCGGCGGCTGCCCCGCCCGCGGCAGCTTTGAGAAAGTCCCGGAGTTGGCGAGTTGGGCGCTAACTGGTGCGGGCTGAGCGAAGGTGCTTGTCCGCGCGCTGAGACGCGCGGGGAGCCCCCGCAAAGCTCTGCCCGCAAGCTCTGCTCCGGACTCCCCCGAGCGTTTGCGAGCTTCACGGGGGTGTGCAAATAGTGCTGGAGCTCCGCGGGACGCTCGGGGCTGTGGCTTGCCCGCCCCCCTCGGCTCCGCTCTGAGGACCAACTTTTGTCCCGGGGACTCGGTAATCCCCGGCGGGAAATGGGGCCGCAGCTGTGTTCCATGCGCACCGGGCTGCGGCAGGGCCCTAGTTTCCGTCCTCTCAGAGTTCCTGGCGTTGGTTGTGAACGCCCTCTGTAAACTGTGGAGTGCTGCGTCCGCCTGCCACCTGTCTGTTGTCCCTGCAAAGCGGCGGGAGGGGACCGGAGCTTCCCTGCAGGAGCTTTTCTCACGCAAGCCAAGTCTCCTTGGAGTTGGAATGCCCTCCGGTCCAATGAATACTTCTAGGTGCTTAGCTCACGGAGCCCTTTCTCTAAAACTCTTTTGTCGGTTTCTATCTCCTGTTCAGCTACTCAGCAAGCCACTAGTGAATGTCTTCTGTGTGCCAGACACTGTGCCAGGCACCGGGATGAAATGAAAACAGACTCGAGCCGTGTCGTCTGGGAGCTGAAACATTAAATGCATAATTGCATTAGGCGAGGGAGTGTGTCTATGCCCGTGATGAGGGCTCTGAGGAAGTCGAGCTGCCTGGGCTCTCTGAAGGCCTGCGGAGCTGACTCCGACGGCGACGGCTGTGGCTCCTCAGGGCTCTCCACTTAATTGCTTCTCCTCTCTCATGGCGAGGGATGACGCGCCCTCTCGGTTGCCTTCCTCTTTACCACCCCCACCTGCGTGCTCCGGATTCTCTGCGTCTCCTGCCCAACCACTGACCCCCACGCCTAGCCTCCCAGCCTCGGACCACCATCCTGACGCTCCAGGCTGAGCGATGGGGATTCAGTTTTGCTGAAATTATAGCTTGGATCTCGACATCTCCAAAACCTTAAAAACTCCCATCACCTAAGCTCCAGAGTTCACACTCCTTGCTTTATCTCCTCTGCCCTGCCCTGCCCTGTGGCTGTTGTTTTCCTTTCCCTGCAGTTGTCCAGGAAGTTCCTTCCACCCTGAAAGCCCTCTCCTCTTCCACATCTATGTTGATGGAAATCTTTGTTCATCCTTCCACATCTAGTTGAAGTGCTGCCTCCTCCACGAACTCCTCCAAAACTTCTCCTCAGAGGGCTGCTGTCTTTCATAGTAAGGCTGACCTTTTATTGAAGGCTTACTCTGTGCCAGGCACCATGTTAAACCCTTGACACACATTACCTCTTTTAATGCTCACAGTTAGCTACCCTGTGAAGTGTTTTTCTTATACTGGTTTGCAAAGGAGACTCATTAAAGAAAGCCATTACCAGGGTTTTAACAAAGGGTAGACAGCATCACCCCTCTGCTCAGATCCCTCCAGTGGGTTTCCCATCTCCTGGATTTCTATGAGGAACTACAAGATCCTGCAAGGCCATATACGAATAGCTCTCACCTTTTCTTTCTTCATTGTGTCCCAGCTCATTTGCCTTCTTGCTGTCATCAGAGGTTCTTTCCTGCCTCTGCCTAGAAGGCTCACTCTTCTATCCCTAGATCTTAGCTCTATACCTTAAAAAAATTTTTTTTTAAATTATTTCAGTGGTAAAATATATATAATATAAAACGTACCATTTAAACCATTCAGTGGCATTAGTATATTTCCGTTGTTTGGATCATCATCACTATCCATCTCCAGAACTTTTTCATCATCTTTAACTGAAACTGTACCCGTTAAACACTAACACCTCATTTCTTTTCCTCTCAACCCCGGTAACAAGCACCATTCTATTTTCTCTCTTTATGAATTTAACTACGTACTTCATATAAGTGGAATTGTACGATATTTGTCCTTTTGTGTTTGGCTTATTTCACTCAGCGTAATGTTTTCAAGGTCCATCCATGTTGTGGCATGTATCAGAATTTCATCCCTTTTGAAGATTTAGTAATATTCCATTGTACGTAGATATCACATTTTGTCTATCCATTCATCCATGCGTGGACATTTGGATTATTTCCACCTTTTGGCTATCGTTATTAATGCTGCTAAAAAGAGCCCTATGCTTTTTATACTGCAGTTGATAACGCAGTATTTATGTAATTGAATGTCCATCTGTCTCTGACAAAAGTGGAAGTTTCTAGAGGTGAAGATGGTGTTGCAAAATTCTTTTATGTGCCTTCACAGCAGAAACACAATGCTAGAAACAGAGTAGCTAGAGCGATCCTTTTATAAACATGAGGCTCCCTCTGCTCCTGGGAACTTGCCTGGGACTACCCTGTGTGTTAGAATAATCTATGAGAATGCTCACATAGCTCATGAGGCCCTACATGATCTGACCCAATTTCTAGACTTTGTTCTCTCTCCTTCCCTTCTAGTTACACTGGTCTTGCTGTATGCTTCAAATGCACCAAGTTGATGGCCTCAGAGCCTTTGCACATTTGCTGTGCCATCATTGTCTAGCAATCTCGTCCTCTAAACCTCTCCCTCCCATCTCTTGGGAAGCAGACCAAATTTTCTGCCTTGGAAAAAGCCTCCCTGACCAGCTGATCTAAAATATCAGAGTACCCCATTTCCATTTGCTTTATTTTTCTGTAGAACAGGTATCCTTTACAGTATGTTCTGCTGCTGCTAGCACATATTTCTCTTTTTTTGGAAATCAGAAAACTGATGTTCCTTCCAAGCAGAGGAATCTGCAAAAACCACCCCCCCTTCCTGAGCCAAAGCAACAGGAGCTGAGCCAGGGCAGATGGATTTCAGCTCATACTGCTGCTCAGACCACACAAAGCTAAGCTAATGCCCCTCCCAGGCCTGGAACACAATAGGTGCTCAATAATTACAGGAGGAGTAACGTGTAGCAGCTGAAGCCATGTACTGGAAAATCTTCGCTGTCTCTCTCCTCCCCACCCCTTCTTCCAGCTCCCTAGAGGAGTCTGTACAAAATTGGATTTGAGCTTTTTCTTGTGTCTTACTGAGTGACTTGTTGATCAAAGCTGTACACACCAGCTCGGTCAGCGTCCAGTGGAAACTCTAACCCATGAACCCAGCTTTAATCCCAGGGCTCTTTGATCACCTTCTACAGTGTGGGGATGCTGGGGGGAGCTCCAAGGGTTTTATCCCACTCACTGAGACCATACCATTTGAGACATGTAGGCAGCCTATTAGTTCTGGCTGTTTTTCTGGGAAAACTGATCTGGACACTGACTGAAATTGAACAAGATATTTCAGACTGACCTGTCCTAAGCCTATTGTGGGCATTAAATGAGATGATGGGCATAAAGGGCTTGCTGCAGACACCCATGAGATGGAACTAGTAACTTTGGCTGAAATAAAAGTCCAGCACCATCAGGAACACGGAGGAGGGATGAACAGGATTTCAGCTGCATGGCAGGAATCTTCACTAGTGGCCTGGGCCTCTCCAGTCTCATCTCCTATCACCCTCTTGTCACTCCAAACCAGCCGCCCCCAACTTCTTCCGGGATTCTGACCCCACTCTGCCCAGATCCAGCCCCAGGGCCTTTGAATTGGCCCTCGTCTCTGCCAGGAATGCTGGTTCCCTGTTCTTCCTCCACTATTCCTCCCTCTCATCCTTCAGATCTTAGCTTAAATGTCACCTCCTCACAGGGACCCTCCCTGACCGCCCACCTGAAATGTTGCTGCCTACTTTACATCTTGCTCTGTTTTCTTCCTAGGGCACATCCCTCTTGGACGTGATCTTATTTATTTGCTTATTTACTTGTTTGTTATTGAGCTCCTCCAGATCACATGTCAGCTGCATGGAGCAGAGGCTTTGGCTTCTCCTTTCCTGCTATATCCCCAAATCCTGCCCCATACGTGCCTGACACCAAGGTTTGATGAATGGTGAGTATCTCCTCTCTTCCCCCATCTTCCCATCTTTGCTTCCTTTCCTTCTTTCTTTCTTCTTCTTTTTTTCCAATGAGCTGCTTATTCTCTTGCTTACTTTTCAGTGTTCCATCCTGTCATCAGTAACAGGCAGATCTTTTGGGATCCCCTGAGATCTACTTCAGCAAGAAGGGTCAACCAGAAGAGAAGTGATAGAGGCAGGCCCTTCTCCTTCCTGATGAAGATATGAAAATCTTTTTAACTAGATGTCTTCACCTTGGCTTTCTCAGGGCCCTTTGTTGCTGACCCCGTTTGTCCAGGGCTGTCCCCTCAGGCTGGTCTGGCCGAGGCTTGAGCTGAGGGGGTGTGAAAATGGAACAGAGCAGCAAGCCAGGGGGTGTGGGTCTGCAATTCAGTCTACCTCTGACACTCCTGACCGTTGACCAAGTCACTTAGCTGTTCTGAGCCTCAATTTCCTCATCTGTGAAATGGGGATAATCATGACCCTTTAATGATGTAATTTCCAAGCTGGTAAGACAGAAGTCTGCTTGACCCTAAACAAAAACTAAGAAGCTTTGGGTGTTGGACTTCTATGCTTGCTGCAAACCTAAAGCCT